TTTGTTATTGCTGTTGAAGTGGACACATTACTTACAGTGGTAGTCGACAGCTACATCGATGGGTGTTGCGTTTTCTGGTACTAAGTTTTCATTGTCTATTGCGTCTTGGCGATCTTCCTCCGCAGCGAAGCCATATTCTACTTTTTTCCACTCATAGACAGTCTCCAACTCGCGTAGTTCAACACTGAGTATGGTGTTTGGCGTTAAAGCCAATATCGGTATAACGAAGAATGCTCTCCACATAATGCTGGTTATCTTTGTGCAACTTTTGCTATAAAGTCTGGAACTAATGAATGAACTTTATAATGGTGGTCTAATATTTTGTTGATGAACTGAACGAAGACCTCAAATAGAATTATGAGAGCCCTTAATAATCCAAAATAATATAATAACTAATTATTTTCTTCAACAACTACTTATTTACTCTCTTTAAAATTGAAAACATTTTGTGTTTGCTTATTGTTATGTAGTTATTTCGGAATAAACAATATTCTAGCTTTGCATTTGAAACATTTTCAAAATAATTCTGAGCCATACCATTATAGTTTTTGTTCGGTTACAAAGCCTAGTTCATTCCAGCCTCCAGTCGAGTCCAAAGTAATTTAATTTAATCGACCTCTATGAGCTCAGACGAATAAAAAAATTAGAAAATCCCCATGAGCGATGGGGATGATTTAAATTTTTGACTTTCCTTTTTGTTAATAAACTTTTTAGCCTGAAAATTGCTTCATTGTCAGTCAAAGTAACATCCATTGAACGTATTACCGACATGATTTCTGCTTAATGTTTACCGATAATTTGCTTTTAAGTGGCAAAGATTGAAAGTTTTAATTAAACTATATTTACTAAACAACGATTTTTTGTAGAAACTTCGAACCTGCCCGCTGGCTAAATTTTTTAGAGCCTCAATTATAATATTTGTTTAAAATTTATATAGTCAGAGGTATGCACGAATATTTTTGTTAATTTTTTCAAATGCGAACTTACCTCAAAAAATCTTTAAAGATGTGACCACAATAATTATAATTTTCAGTGTCTCGACAACTTTATGTTAACTGCGTGTTTGTGAATTATCTTCTGACAATTTTAAAAAAGAAATAAAATTATTTAAAGTCAAAAGTATTAAGATTCTGCTTCCACAAGTGTTTGCTTGTGTATTTTTGAAAGAATTGTTATCATCAGCTTATGCTCTCCTACATTGATGTGAACTGATACCTAGTGGAAATCAGCACACTTTTATATGGCTATAGCTTCGCAGTGAAATTTATGCATTATAATTAAAAATATGTCCTCGATTGTTTGAAGAAAATCACTTACTAATAAATGCCAGGTGATATGTATAGTTTTAACGAGTAACAGGAAATTGAAATTTTAATAGAAAATCAAAATTAAATGTAAGGTTGTTACACATTGCTATTGAAGATAATTGGTTCGTGTGTAATATAACTATTTACAGGGGTTTTTTAACTAGAAATATTTAATTAACTTAAATATGTGATGCTATCGATATAGATTTGCTTCAAATTTTTAACTAGAAATATTTAATTAACTTAAATATGTGATGCTATCGATATAGATTTGCTTCAAATTTTTAACTAGAAATATTTAATTAACTTAAATATGTGATGCTATCGATATAGATTTGCTTCAAATTTTTAACTAGAAATATTTAAAAAAACCCAAAAGGTTGCGGCGTAAATATATGCAAATATTCACTAAATGGATTTTTTTAATTTGCGTACGTGCGTTTACATTTCTGAATAAATCTGTCACTGAGGCGTCATAACAAGATATATATGTATGAGCTAAATGCGTCTTTCTTTTTCTAATATTGCGTTTTCCGCCAACGACCGTTGATCGCAACGGAGCCTATGGCTGCTAGTCGCTCCGCTAACTACTAAATATTGCTAATTATTTTTGCAGTAAATTTCAATTTTGAATGGATATTTTGGACAACTGGGGCACGAAATAATTAAAACAGAAGTAAATAAGAATAAGTTTAAAAATTCAGAAGTACTTTGAAGTGCTTTTCGAAAATATATTTCAAATAAAATTTTTTTATTTAGTACATAACGTAAACCGTTTTAAAATTTTCTGATTTGCTGAGTTTGTTACCGACGAAAATATCACAAAAGTCGACAAAATATTTTTGGATGACCGTAAAGTGAAGTTGTTCGAGATAGCAGGCACTCTAAAGATATCACTGCATCATATCATTCACCAAACGTAGTAAACCGGAGTTTTTCCGTTGATATGTGACAATGGATGAGACATTGCACCAACATTTCACTCGGAAGTCCAATCGACAGTCATCGGATTGGACTGCAAAGAATGAACCCGTATCTGTATTTAGGGATGCGCATGGGATCAACTATTACATAGCGTTGTTGGAGTCTTTTAAACCAATATCGACGAAGTGGTCGCATTTGAAGAAAAGTACACAAAAAAAAAAACTTAGCTAAAGGTACGGATGGCTATCCAATTTGATCGGATATAACTGTAAAATATTTTCTGATATTCCAGAATACATTTATTTGTATAACTTATATATTTCCAAGCATTGAAGGCGTCACGGAAGACAATCTCTGGGGGGCCACATCTGGGCTATAGGGCGGCTGCGGAAGTGTTGGGATGCCGATCCTGGTTAGGTAGCTGTTTATAAGAAAGACGGTATGAGTCGGAGCGTTGTCGTGGTAGTATTGTCTAATCCGATTGACCCTTCGTTTGAATCTCTTGAGGACTTTCACGTAAAACTTGGCGTTGACGATTTATGCAGGAGGAACAAATTCATGGTGGCCGATGTCTTTGATGTCAAAAAAGGCAATGAGCATCGTTTTTTGAAGTTTGCTCATTCTTTCGATCTTCATCAGCGACCTATTATCGGCTCTCCATCGAAACACAACAATTCTTGCTAAAATAGCATCTGCGTAAGCCTGCTTGATCATATCAAACATCTCTGTTGCACATTTACCGAGTTTCACACAGAATTTAATCGCGTATCTCTGCTTTAACGAACACTGCATTTTCGGCTTGCATTTTTGTTCTAGGTCGTCCAGTCGGTGCGCGAACGCTCCGAAGTACAGTCGTGGCGAATGAAAATCAGTCCTATTACTTTCCGGACAAACCCTGCATTACACACACAATCACCAATCATATGGCGTTAACCGGATGACCCTGGTAATAGTTATATGAGGGGTATGCCAAGTTTTTGTCCAATTATATCTTTTTTAGGCACGAAGATATAAAGTTATGAGTAAAAAATTTTCTGTAATTTTAATTCTGATATCTCAATCCAGTATAAAGTCACTTGGAAGTTCGAAAGAAAAGACAAATACTCGGATTTCGACTCGTCTTGTCTTCGTAGTCAATCTAATCCGATTAGATTTAGGTGATATGTACAACCGTTAAGTGAACACAGCTATTATACTCTGTAGCAAAAGATTGCAAGAGTATAAAAGAATGAATAACCCGTGCAAAAAAATATTGTTGATCGTCGTTATTTATTTGATAACTCTGTCAGTGGTAACCTCGTTATATGCGAACTCATTTCTTCTCAAATTGCCGCGAAATACTTGTCAAGAAAGTTTTTCAATCATCATCCAAATTTATTTGATCGCCTTCAAAGTAACATCCATTTGAAGCGATGCACATGTGCCAATGCTTCATCCACACGTCAAAACATTTTTTATAGGCACTTTCTGGGATGGCCTTCAGCTCTTGCGTCGAATTTGTTTTAATATCTTAAATTGAGTCGAAGCGTGTTTCTTCGAAGTGGATATTTTAGTGTGGAGAAAGGTAAATGTCACAGAGAGCCATAACATGTATATAAGCACCGTATATAATTCAGTATTTGTTGAATGTTTGGCCAAAATTTAACACAAATACTTTGATTTAAATTTTAAAATTCGACAAACACTACTAAGGTCGACCAACATAAACAGCTGCTGTAAACACACTGGTGGACAGATCGCGCTAATTTTTGGCATCATAATTACGTAGAGTTGTACCAAGCTAGAAAAAAGAATTTACCTGTCTTCCATATAAGTGAGAAATGAAGAATTCCCGATACTTTCTTGAGAGGGTGTATGTTTGCTTTGTATATGTACAAGTAATCTTAAAAGTGCATTTTATAATATAACCAAGTGGACAGGAAACAATATCTTGAACATAACCACTGCATTAATGCATCGCAAACACTTTTCTCGCCAATTACACTCGGAGATGATAGTGCAAGAGCAAATAATAAATAATATTCTTTCTTTTATGTATATAACAAGATATATAGCTCGGGAGAAGAAAATATAAAAGACGAAATAATTTTTGTTTGTATGTATATATGCAGGTGCGGATCCAAAATTATGCATTATTTCCACCATATGTCATATTTTGCGAAGAGTTACTAGACGAAATTCTCGAATGAGTCATCGGAAATCAGACGCAAAGGATGGACCATCTGAGACTTAGTCGCGTTCAACATTCGAAAGAGATAATTTTCCAAAAATAAATGGAAATAATGTTCTTTCGAATGACAATACACATTCCTAATTAAAATTGAAGTACCTGTTTTTTTCTTTAAAAAAGTATGAAACCTCTAAATGGATCTCTTTACATTTGCATTCAATAGCAAATTTCTTTCATTGCTAAAACAAACACTTAATCTATATATGTGCGTATAATATTAATTTTTATTAATATCAATAATATAATATAAATAATTGGAGTGTTAATAAATGTGCTTGAATTCGAAAATTCTACTTTGTGCTTACAAAATGTCTATCGTGCTTTCTGCTAAATTGTTCTAAGGTGCATACATATACTATATAATATTACATATTTCATTTCAATAAAAGGTTTCCACAATGTCATAATTGACCAAACGTTTGCAAAATAAATAGAAGATCGGTTAATCAATCTGAGGAGGAGGAGGATCCTGAATCACTCTGAGATTCATCTGAGGAGGATCCTGAATCACTCTGAGATTTACTTGAGTTGGACCCTGACTCGCTATGAGATTTA